GAGCCCAGTCATTTGGTATTTTAAATTTGAGCCAAAATCGTTCTAAAAATAAACTAAATTTTAAAATTTAGTAAACGGTAAAATGAAAATAAACTGCTCGGTGAAAACGCTGTGACACGAGGGTGACTTGAAAGGGCTCGCCCTTGGTCACGCTACCTAACCAAGAAGAGGGAAAGAACTTAAGGCGAGTTGACAGCAAACGTCCAGTCGGTTACCCCTCCCTTTTGCCTTCCTACGCAGGCTACCGTAGAGGCAACGCAATCGAAAAATAAACTTGTCCGTGACAAAAGTGGGAACCAGTTTCCTGGAAGGGCAGCGGTGCTGTCTTTACTACGGATTGGTCTCTTTCCTCGTTGATGGCCTTAGACTGTTCCAGGCGTTCAGATAGTAAAGCGCGGGAGAAAATTTCACGAAGAAAAAAAATTGAGGGTCGTTTCCCCCCCAACCGCCCTCGTTTTCACGGTGTACACCTTAACAGGCCCCCATCATCTGGCTTTACGGGGAGGCTATCAGAACGCCTGGAACAGGATAAAGAATTCTTGGGTTGCACGTGACGTCACCAAAAATCGAACTAAGAAACTATCGATTCCTCTGAGTTTCTACTTTCACGAGGTATAGTGATAAACACCTTTAATAAACAGATTTTTGGTTCGAAAGGGTTCTCGTTTTGCGCTAACTGTCAACGTTTTGCGTGAATCTTAGCTAAACGAAAAAAAATTATCGATTTTCGAAGATTTTGCAACAAAAAAACCTCAGAATAAATCCCAAGAATCTTTATGAGTTCCTGATCAAGAACACAGGAAAACTCAAAATTTTTATTTAACAATATTTTGGTGTTCCTGAAAAGGACACCAACATGGCGTTTCCATACCAAGCTTTATTTTAGGTTTTTTTCCCAATATCTCGTTTGAAATATTTTACAAACCTGACTACAGATGTTATCTTTTTCATTTCCCAGATTCTAGTCCTTCTGTATTGAAAAGTTTGCATTTTTTTTTCATTGCGTGACAAAATTAGAATTTAACTAAGGTTTTGGACGAAGATTCTGCTGACTGTCAACGTTGGATCTCTGAAAAAAAAAAAAAACAGGAACGAAAAACGAGAAGTCCCAAGACTACTGCAAAGCTGATCATAACACGGCTGATCATAAACTGAAAGACAAGAAAACTCACTCATTTACTTACTTCTTCAGGGGCATCCAACGAGAATATAGTTCAAAACCACTTAAACATAGCATTGTTAAACGTATTTTAGTATTTAAACGGTAGATCTAGGCATATTTTGTATCCCCTAAAAATTTTTCATCTGTTCGGATTTCCTAGCTGAAAGTCTAGTGATCCAAAAATTATAGGGATCAAAACTTACCTTTTCGAAAATTTCAGCCAGGAAAAAGGCTCCCCGAAAATTCTAAGTGACCTTTTTAGGGTAAAAATCCGTTAAAATGGGCAATTATACCATTGTTTAGATGTTTGAAAATCCTAGGAGAGGCAGGCTAGCAAGAAATTTCCCAACAAATGTTCCGAAAATTCTAGATCTCAAATCGTCTTCCGAACAGATATTTTCCGAAAATTGTCGTTGGGTGCCCCTGACTTCTTGTAGGTTTGTGAAAGGGACACCATTCTTCAATGGAGGCCTTTACGAAAGGGTACCTTTTTTGTCAATGTAGCCTGCGTAGCAGGCGTCGAGAGGGGTAAATTAGACTCAGGGGAACTCAAGGGTAGGGGATAGGGAGGAAGGGAAAAACGGGAGGGGGATTGAACAGTTATTGGACAGAGAGACTCCTTTCCCTTTTCCCCGCTTTCGCGCTTTTCTCCCTCTCCCCTCTAAGTCCCCTTTTTGCGCCTGCCAAGCAGGCTTTAAATAATGGTGTATAAAAGGGTAAGGGGTACGTTGGACCTCGCACGGGGCAGCAGGCCTCCCCATATGAAACTTTGTTGAGTAGGCCCCTGGGCACAGTTGTTTGAAAGCCGATTAGCGCTAACCCAGGGTAGGACCAGGGTTAAACCGTAATGCGGGTTTCTTTTCCTTTTGTTGAAAAGCATTTTGTGGGATAATTTTCTCCACTCTCTTTAGAGCCGTGATCCAATCATCCATTTGTACGTAGACTAAATTTGCTTTTAAGCTCTCATTTCTGAATTTCAATTTCGCACTAACCCCTGGGTTATCAATTAGGACTCTGAGAACGAGGCTGGGGCTCCAAGGGAAGCTCTCTTCCGTAGTTGCTCTTTGGCTTGATTAGCCTGCGAACGGCAGACGTTTCTCCTCGCTCATCGCCGCTGATGGACGTTCCTCCTCGCGAAACGTCCTTCAGCGGCGATGAGCCAGGAGAAACGTCTGCCGTTCGGAGGATATGGCTTGATACTATTCAGAATTTTACAATTCGTCTTGAATAATCTAATGACTTTGGTCTCTTGTTCCCAGTGATCTGAAGATTTAACGTGCACAGCTTAGCTAGATTTGCCATCGATTGCAACCTTTGCCTTCACCGTTCAATTTGACCTGCGTCTACATTAGACCGGATACCTTTTCAAGTCGACGGCATGAAATGCTATCCGTTATAATATAATGAGAGCAAAAAAGAACGAAGACGCGCGAGGGAGACACGCGACGAGTGTCTCTCTCTCGCGCCCGTTCTTTCTTGCGCCTATTTATTTTCCAGCGCTTGTATTACAGTATGAATACCTGTTCACACTGCGCTTAAGAGTGGCGTAGAAACCTATCCGATTTATATGATGATACACTTTCAAGATCGGCTCAGCTTCGCTTCGTTATAGAATATTATGGTTTTGGTGCCAGGGCAAGAGAGCCCCAGGTTGAGCTCAGCAACTGAGCTGTGACCTTTGAGTACTGTTGGCGTTTACAGTCATTTTTTGCAGTTCAACTGACCTCGGGTAAATTTGGCACTTCTGAGCAATAAGGGCCTGTTTACACGCAGGTAGGGGACGCCGGGTAGGTGAGGTAACCCGCTTAGGTGGGGTAACCAGCCTGTCCATATAATCTTCGCGTCGGAGGCTGCTTTCCTTTGCCGCTTGTCAGCTCTTAACGCTTCACGGCGCGCGCTCCCTCCTTCTTGGTTTAAAGTTTGCGTCGTAAGGAGCTCCAGCCTTGCTCCTTTCGCCCCAAAGCACTCTTTCTTTTTGCGCGAGAGAGTGCTACACTTTGGCGGGTCCACTCTTTCCGCCTCTCGGCCCTCATTCTTCTTAGGTAACAACGTTGACGTAACATTGCCATCTTAAGGCGCTACATCTTGCCGGGTTCTCTTTTTTGTGCCCAGCGTTTTTCACTTTGGTGAATTCTTCCCCAGATCACTTTCCTTCTGCAAAAACTACCTTTTGCGCCTGAGGGCGCTTCACCCTTGACCCATTGTACAGAAGTCTATGAACAATGTGATAAAAAAAAAAGCTTTTCACTAACATTTGTACAAAAGATATTAAAAATTCAGGCAACAACTCTTTGGCATTCCAGTGAAGAACTTTTCAGCATTTTTCGAGTAAAATCGGCGCATGCCTGTAATCTTGACCTTCGATGTTTTGCCGATAAACATGACCTTCTCCAATTTGCGAAGGTCATTATGAAGGTCAGGTCTCCGTAAAACTTTATACTGGCCTGTAAATGAAAAAACTTGACCAGGTCTTGAATGAATTCTTGCCTCAAACAGCTGCACTTTTTTTTAAAGCTCTACATCGTTTATCTCTTTATTTGCCTAAAGAGGTGGGCAGTTCAAAGTCGTTGAAATGTGTTGAGGTTAATGAGCTCAAGAAAGAAAACAGAATTTCTGCACGTGCATCACACTTTTTGGTACATTTCCTGGCCGTCACTTCTCATACAACGTAAACACGTTTATGGGGAAAGTAGACACAGTTCAGAAAGAAACAGATATGCAAATTTTCTATTTAATCCGGTACGTGGAGAAAAAAAACTTTGTAAATGAAAATTTATATTTCATTTTTGAAGGTCAATTCTTGTTTGATTGTAGGATTCTTGTTGAGTTCGGAAAATCTGTTAGCCTTTGTTTTGCAACATACTACTCTTCTGCAATTTATCATTTATGCGGAGCACCTCGGGGGATTAAATAATTCGCTGAAAAAATGCACTTTAAGTCAAGGTAAAAGTGAAAGTGCTGAGTCAGGGAATTTTTCTCACAAGTGCCTCGAGCGGAACGATTCTAGAACAAAAAAAAATGCAGAATTCAAACAATATACGTTAGAAAGTCCTGGCAGTGTATAATGTATTTTCAGAGTTTAGAAAACTTTGTTTAAATAGTACCACGGCAAACAGTGGGATTCGGTATCATGACATAAACAGATACAATCCAAATGGTAGAAATTAGGTGTTAATTACATTTTAATATGACATAGTTTTCGTGATAAGAACATAGATTAACGAAAAGTTCATTTTCGCCTGTGAGCAAAGTTCATTAATATCCGCCCCCAACAAGTCTAAAATTGCCCTAGTTCTTTTGTTTAACGAGCCGCAAAAAAATTGAGAACAAGGGCTTACTTTTTAGCAATTTGCATTATTTTGCATAACGAAGAAAAGTTTCATGCAAATGTATCCCCTGCTGCTTAACAAACAGAGTTGAGAGACTTTTTGTTTTGATCAGAAACCGGAATTTAAAAAACTGCAACGTTTGCCAGCAAAGACAGTCGGAGAAAAGAAATAAAATCATAAAATAAAGGTGTGATAATATGAGCAGAATTTACGTGAGTTGTGTTTACAAATTTTCTTCTCCATTTTGGTGAGACATGACACAAGAACAAATAGATCTGCCACAAGAAGACCATCAATGAAAGGGGCCGTTTTCAGTACCTTTTCTTTTCAGAACTGAAGAAAATCAAAAGCGCGTAAGGATTGATTTCAAAGAAAAGAGAAACGAAAAAGTCGCACGTTGTCTTGGGCAAAAGTTGTCGTGATGAAAGTATAAATTCTCTCAACCGTGTTGGTTACACCCTCTGATAATTGGCGCGAGCTATAGCTACACGTGCAAAATCCAGGGACTT